GTTGTTGCTGCGGTGTTTTTTTTTTTTTCTTCAACTAGTTTTGTAGACCATGGACGCATACACTGGGTATACACAGGGAACTGTCTCGATCTGTCTTCGCGATTCAAACAATTCGCGCGCCCGTACTGTGAAATGGGAAGAGGACCAAAGAGATAACAACGAAAACAAGCGTCTACACAGTGATCAAGTCATGCACGGGACAGTTTGCTGATAAAGATGAGAGTTCAACCAGACAGCACACAATGCATTCGCACTTTCTTTCCAGGCCAAACTAATCGAACACCTGCGAATGTTTTGCAGCATCGACGCAATAACATGTCGTGACAGGCAAGCAGACGAGTGGCATAATAACGTTTTTGCACCATTTCACCACAAAACACCCCGACGTATTTTGCTTACATAAGCAGCATGTAATCGTACACTCTTCCCCGTACAAATTGGAAGCAGCGGATGCAGTCGTTTGCTAACGGCAAAAGTTTACAATAAGTCACAACACAGGGCGTTACGGCACTGGCCGGCTATCTCACAGCAATGAGAGTTCACAAAACAAGAAGCAAAAACAACTTTGCCACCGAAGTGAGCTCCACATGCTTGTGTGCACGCAAGACCGACGCGAAACAAATTGCAAACACCTATCAGCACGCGATAACGTGGATGACGACGGATCTGACACGGAACGTTTGTTTCACTTCTCAAGAGGAAGGCATGTTCATATCCAAGGCTTTCTTAGACACTTATTGCCATCTCTTTAGCCGTGATACCATAACCGTTATCACAGATTTTTGTAGTTTCTTTTTTAACCTGGTCTCGGCTTGTCACGACTTCAAACGAACTGTGAGTTGTAAAAAAAAAAAAAGCGCCGTGGCAGTCGTGACGTTTTGGTGACGTCAACGAATTTGTCACGTGGGCGAAACGGTTCGACCTGCAAAAAAACCGCCCCGGCTATGAAGGCCCCGGCCAAGTGCCGCTCCTGAGGCGGAAAAAAAACCGTAAGGTAGGCTGGAGAGTCGAGAGGAACGTAAACAGCGTCACGTGGAAACACAGGAAGCGTGCGGCATCATCCATGTCCATCCCCTGTCCGGCATGTCGCGATTCCAAACGAACTGCGGAAGAAAACAAAAGTAAGAAAAAAAACGTCGATGTCACGCGAATAGCTGCGTGGGTGAATCGAAAACCGAAACCTAAACTTATGAACTTGAATAAGGTGATAAGAAATTATTTAGCGATAACAGATGAATATTAGTGCTTTTATTTTCCTTCCTGGTGCTATAAGAAAAGCTTGCAGTATATAACGCGCAAGCCTCAAATTTGGTGGCACCTCCCCCCCTTTGACGCCCTCGTTTGTGATACTAATGTTTCAGATGAAACAATATTCACGCACAGAAAAAAAAATCACTGGGGCCAGAATGGAAAGCTGCGTGGTCCACTATGTCAAGTTGCGATTGCGAATCAAGACTTCGGAGGCAGCACATTCTATAGCTGATAAGTGTTCTCTGGGCGAACACATCACTTCTTACTTTCTTGAAAACAACGAAATTATTTTTGATTTGATTTCGTGGGGTTTAACGTCCCCTAACCACCATATGATTATGAGAGACGCCGTAGTGGAGTGCTCCGGAAATTTCGACCACCTGGGGTTCTTTAACGTGCACCAAAATCCGCAAGAACTGTGGGGTCCATTGACACCACTCATTAAAAATGAACAGTACGTCACAAAACTTGCACATAAAAAAAAAGGCTGCCCAGCAATCGAGACGACAACACGGATGACCAGCCTCCTCCACCAGTGTGCCAATGATTGATTCATTATCATTGTTTACGATCACTTTCAGTCATGTCGGCAGACAGACTACAGGAGGTACGGGAGAGCCACAGCTGTCTAAATACGAAAATTGTAGGCGGGAAGTGCCAAGTGCTGTTATTGTCAACCCAAGCACGTACCGTCCCACGGATGATGTAGATCGTGACCACCATAGAATTACTAGCAAATAATTCATTTCACTTCCAATTTTTTCAAGTACTTTTGATAATGCACAAAGGCGCGCCATGCGGCATGTTTCAAAGACGTAGTCGCGCAAATCCTTTAACATAGTCTTTCCAGAAAGTAATTTTTTTTTAGGTCCTTTGACAACTGGCTAAGACTTCTTATCACACTTCGCTGCGCTATGTATCGACCCTTCGCTACGCCCTCGAGAGCTATGCTTGTGCCACCCAGATTTGGCGCTCGAGTCAGATTAACTCTATGCTCCACTGTACTCCCCTGTATATAAGAGGTGTGCGCCGTAGCGGTTTCGGCCGGTGGAGGCAACGTTACTATCTAGTAACGTAGGGTGGAGGCGTGGGGCGTGGAGGTCGTTCCGAGTTAGCGGCGGCGCACGCCGGCGTATCATCGGCGGTGGTGGTCGGAAACCCATAACAACAAGCCGAAAAAGCTGTTTTACTGCATGTTCACTGCTTATATAGTTAGCTGAAATTTAGGGCTTATAAGGAATGAGAAAACAGCATGGATATGTATTGAAAGTCTGAGAACTGGCAAATGTTTCGTAAGTGTCTTGTTTTGCAACGTACGTACACACATTGAAAAAAAAATTATAATGGGGGAGATGGCACTCATCTCAAGTCGGTAGTGTATGAATGATTCTTGTAGTTTGATGCATCGTGGCCCCGATATGAAAATGAGGCGCACTGCAGCGAAAGTTTCGACCACCCGGGATTCTTTGGCGTGCACTGGCATTGCCTGACCACACGTACGTAGCCGATGCTGCGCGCCAGCGCATCGCTTTCTTGACGCTGCGCCGCACCCTCTCCCAATGGAGAGAAAGAACACGCAGCATCACGTAGCCCCGCTCCCTCTCTCTATGAGGACATAGCGTACAGGAGGAGGAGGAGGAATTATAAGAAACCAGCAGGTTTAAATGGCCGGGCCTATATAAGGGGACGTCAAGGGCTTGCCTCGACGCTGCCTCACGGGCGTGCTGGGTCGCCCAGGTTTGGTCGTCAAGAGCGGGGCTCCGCAGAGCCTCATGGAGCTTCGAAGAAAGGGTCGTGGTGTTAATGTGTCTGTACTGTACGCTTCCATAACGTACAAAAATACATCTTTTTTGTTTGTCTATCTTTTACCGTGGTTGCGCGTGTTCCACATATTCATGGTGGTGAGCTGTTGGCACATAGTTGGAAAGAATGACGAAACGAGCCTTGATAATGCGTACACAGAAGGAGAAATTTAAAGTTCAGGAACACACAAGCTGGGACGAGCAACATGAAACAACGCAGCTCGAAAGTAAAACCAAGAGGTATGCTTACATGCGCTAGCTGTATACATATGTACAGATGAAAGCGATGCTAATGAGAAAATCCAATAATAATCACGAAAACGTCCATGTGCTGTGAATACCGTACAGATAAAAATGCAGCGCAAGATACACTCTGATTACATTTGTAACGCGGCCATGTCTACAGTGGTCGGGTCGAGGCTTATGACAGGCTAACTGCGTGAACACCACACCTGATTTCAATCAGTGAGTGTGTATTGGAAAGGAAGAAATAAGATTTAACGTGAATTTTTTAAGCCTTCAAAGTAAAAACAAAATACCAAAGTTTGCATGTGTAAGTGATTCGTGATCACTTTTCCTACATATTGATAAATAATTCGTGTTGCTAGATAGCGGGTGCACGTGTCATTGATCATGGAAATGTGCTGTTCGTGCTACTAGACACGCTCCTTGGCTTTGAGTGTGCATGAGCGTCCGCATAATTTTGTCTTCTTGGGGGGTGCAAACTGGTGTTGCACCTCAGCTGGGTGAGGGGATAGAGGGGGAACGTATGCTGGTGTGGCTTGAAAAAGGCGAGTGCCCCAATTCCCCCCCCCCCCCCTGCTAACTCCCGTGTGTGCAACTGTTACTCTGGAGACTCTCCGCAATAAACATTTAGTTCAAGTCTGCTTGTTCTCCATCGCTGGTTTCCTCTTCCGAATATTACGAATCACATACATCCTGCAAGCTACATGCTAGTGATGTCTTGTTCCAAGCACGTGAAAAATTGACAGATTCATATAGTTAGTCACATATTGTCCGAAAAAAAAAAAAGAAAACATACGAAGGAAAGGCAGATTGTACACGGTTTGATGGCCTACCGTGCGGCACCGCACGGAATGCAGGCCGAAGCGTAGGAAACAAGACGTGGACCGTCCACGCCACGGAGGAACCTTCCTTCGTGGTCCCCGCCAAACACCACCGTTGGCGCTGCCGCTGACCAGATTAGCAACACTACAGTCCGCATTATTACCTACCTTTCCGCATTATTAGGAGTACTTAACGCGTTTTTTCTCGTCCTGTTATTCAACTGGCAAGTAGGCAGAATAGAGAAAGGACCGAGTATTTAGTGGTGCCAGAAGGTGCCAAATAAAGGTACTTCCACTGCGTGGAAAAGTTTAATTGTATTCAAATGGCACGCCGATCGCGCCTAGAGAACACGTCGGCGGCGGCGCACACCCCTTCCCTGCTTCAGCGGGAGTCAACAGCCTCATTAAAACGATGCTTCTACGCCACTTTACTTTTTTCTTTCATGAGTTAAGTATCTTCGCCTGCTACAAGACGCGCCAAAATGCTACGCTTTAGTAGAAAGCGTTTCTACAAAGTGGGTGAACAAACGCAGACAAATGCCACTTGTTTACAAGTTAGTACAAATAATCATCGTGAGAGCGCTGTTACACACTCGAAAGAGACCTAAGCATTTCAGTATATGTCTACGTACAACTCCCTAAATTGCATCTCTGTCTTTAAAAGATGCGTGCGCAATAGAATCTAGTTTTCTGCGAAAGTTCTCGCATTCTACTTGTACAATCGTGTAGCGTTCAAAAATTATAATATTACGCATTTTTCAAAGTACTGGAATATTTTTTTAACAACTTTTCTTTAAATAATTCTAAAACCGCAATTGTTGCGCGGAAGAACACACAAAAAACATTTTGATCAACAGGACCACGGTTGTTTATACTGTCGCCGCCACGAGAAGATAAAGAAAAGCAACGCATTGGATTTAACCACTTGGCTCGTTCGCTTGCTGGGGGGGAAAAAATGTTTTGCGGAGTGTATTGTGTGTGTTCGCTATCGCTAGAGTACCGATTGCTCTGCTAGCATGTCCCGGGACACTTTGATCGCATTAGAGGACAGCAGCAACTACGACACATGACTGCCTGTTGTCACGATATGTAAAAAGGTTATTTTGACTTTTTCGTTTTCGGAAACGCCGACGACTGGTTGGCACGTCCCACCTATCGTGTGGTACATACATTGCGGTCCAGCTGTTTTGTTCTGTGACCGTGCTTTTTTTTTTTTTTCTCGTGCAGCGTCTACTACAACTAAGTCATGGCTCTTCCATCAGAAATGTTTGCCAGCTTGGAATCGTGCGATGGCCGCTCCGTGGAGGAAATCAAACAACTTGTCAATGAGAGCCTCGCCAATAGTAGGCTACCTTTGATTTATGCTCTCTTATGCGCTAGTGTGCCGGTTACCAGTCTTGTCATGTTACAGTGTGACAACGTTAGCACTGCTACTTTGCTTTGATGTGGGCCCGCAGTCATTGCGCTCTAGGTTTTTTTAATTATTTATTTTCCCCAGCTCGCGTGGACGTGAGGAACAAAGTTGTTATTTACTTGTCAAAGGTGGTGACAGTCAATTTTGTTGGACTTGGTCGTTATCGAATTGGTCAGGTTGTTTTCCTGATCACGTATAACGTAGTGAGTAACGTTTTTTCTTCATTCTCAGACAAAGATACTTCAATGCTGTCCACCCTTGTTGATTACTACTTGGCGTCACGATCTCAGCGGTGTTTGGATGTCTTGGTCGCCATCAGGGAAACTAGTGCGAAGGTCTGTTATTCCATGCTTTATTGTAATAGTCTGCAACTTTCACTGTTTCATTATTCATATCACTGAAGTACCCAAGTTGCACTTGTGCCCTCGCAGCATGAAATGTGTTTTAGTTGAGTGCCTCTAAAAAGAGCATTTTTGTTTTTTATCAGGTTCTGAAAAACTGTTCTGAGACCAGTTGCATTGCTAGTGAAAACAAAAATAGCAATACAGCTGGTACGAGCAATAACTGACACATGTTAGTCGTGAAACAAAACATCACTACCTGAGAGGAATTTCATCTGGTTGTTGAATTGAACACGACACCACTGTCAAGCGAGTAATTTCTTTTGCCCATCAAGTTAGCAGATGTTGGTGCCAGGACTAACTAACCATAAATTTATCTTGTTGCATTCCAGTGTAATTCACTGTGCCCTTAGCAGTCTCTTTATGTGTCTGTTGCTTTAATCAGTAGAACTGCTGTAGATCAGTAGGTGTCCTGACTAATGTTTTCAAGCCAACAACAATCTTTACTTCGCTATAAAGCTTGGTCCTTGAGAGAACTCAAATGGCACTTCTATTTGTAGCATTTGGTTACAGTTATGTGGACAGCCCTGCCGCCGTGGTCTAGGGGCTGAGGTGCTCGGCTGCTGACCCGAAGGCCGCGGGATCGAATCCCAGCTGCGGTGTCTGTATTTTCGATGGAGGCGAAAATGCTGTAGGCCAGTGTGCTCAGATTTGGGTGCACGTTAAAGAACCCAAGGTGTTCAAAATTTCCGGAGCCCTCCACTACGGGGTCTCTCATAATCATATCATACTTTTTGGACATTAAACCCCACATATCAATCGTCAATCTCCACAGTGGCGTCTCTCATAATCACATGGTGGTTTTTGGACGTTAAACCCCACATATCAACCAATCAATCAGTTACATGGACAGTAAATATCTCCTTCATTGAATAATACAGCTTGCCTTTTCTGGTTTTTTATAAAGCTTGTTTGCTTGATTCCAGTCTCGCATTGCTACTTGCTAGCCTGCTGCTCAGTACTTGCGAATTAAACATATAGTTGCTTACTGTTATATAAGGTGCCGCTACCGACTAAGGCGCTATTTAGTGGCAGGCACTCAACGGCCGCCGCAGAGAGAAAAAAAGTAGATGGAATGAACAGTGGTGTCTGCGTTTATGCCGAGATAATTGTTATGCACAATGTAAAAGGGCACATATAGCTGTCCTGGATTTTCTCCCTGCACTCCTAAGTACAGTTCTCAACAGATTGCAGTATTAAAAGAAGTTTGTCACCTCTGCTGTGATGTCATTTAAAGCAGCCAGTGTGACTGGCACGCTCTACATCTTTAAAAAAAATACTTCATTGTTGGAAAGCTGTATTGTGTTTCCTGCATTCTTGGGCTATTGCCTGCATGATGGTGTATTGACACTTGAAACTGATAGAGGTCTCTTTGAGTGTAAGCGGTGGCCAAAATAGCTGTGCACCAAGTGTGCCATGCCACCAGTGCACTAAAATGACTCGAGATTAGTGCTCTTTGCTTCTCTTTGCATATCTGTCCCTTGAAGTACACATCACCATACTCTGGCATCACTACCGATTGGTCTGTTATTTCATTTGCGGAGCCAAAATGCCTAGCAAGGAGTGACGAACTTGAAATGCTAGTTTTTTATCGAGATTGGCAAGCAATTTTTTCATGCAATCTCTGCAACACATCAATGTTCATGCTGCCATATATTGAACAAGTTTTACCATGGTTTGAGGTACAACTGTCATATTTGCTAGTTGTGAGAGGCCAAGCCCACGCATGTCGTGTCTGACCTCTTGTGCATTCGGCCTCATTTTTTTTGGCCTCTCAAAAATGGCACTGGCTTTTCTTGTGGCAGATTTTCAACTACCTTATGCTGAGTATCGTCAGGATTATTTTGGTCTGTAATCAACTTGTGCTGTCTACTTGACGCATCATTTTGTTCCTGTTAAGCAGGCAGTTAACATTCTTTAAATGAGACTTTTACCACTTTGTCTACAGTACTTATTTGGCTTATGTGTTGCTGTTATGCTTATGGAAGATATGATCTCGTATCCACCCCTGTTCTTTTCAGGACCTTTTTGACAAGCTTCATGACTGTCTTAAAGGGAGGACAAGGCAATGCACGCTTACACTAATCGCCAACATTGTGCACAAGCAGCCACCTTGGCTTCATCACATCACAAGTCACAAGATTCTAAGTCACATCCTCATGGTCATAAAGGCGAGTGCAGTGTCACAATGCACTTATGTATGCCCAAGCGGCAGTATGTATTCTGGTATAGGCCATTTTAAGTGGTATTGCAAGGTCAATCTTTATCTTACTATTTATTCTAAGTTGCTAAATATTCTTAGTAATACATCGCAACAACCACATAGCGCTTGACATGGAAAAGGCGGCACTTTCTAAAGTCATTCCGTGGTAGTAAAAATTTTTTGCAGCATTGCTTTTCTTGAATGTGCTGTAAAACCTCGTTGATTTCCAAGTCACTGGGATCGTAAGAAGTCTCTGAATTAAGTGGGTTTTCGAAATTGAAACATCCAAAAAGTCTGAGGCAAAAAACTTGCATCCCACTTTGCAAGTAATTATGAGCACTGGTCACATGCTGTGCTGGCTAGTTGGCAGCTCTGAGGATTATGTTTTTCAGCAATACTTGGTTGGTGTTAATTATGGTGCAAACGCAAAGGAACTACGGGCCTCTCTGCTGCAACATTAAAAAAAATGCTGTTGTGATTAACTAAAATGCGCGTCTGCATAAAACAAAATGTATTTCAGCGCAACGCAATAGTGACACATGGCCAGCATGTCACCTGTACCTCGCTGCGGCAGGACGTCATGATGTGACCATTTGTCCATTTTTTCTGGTAAAATAAATAATTTAATAATGGCCTCTGTGACGAAATTCGCGATATTTTCTGGCTGGAAAACATGATCATCAAAGCTTTCGAACTTTATTTTCGAAGGAGGTGTTACAGGCAAGAACTCTGCCAGCAGTGTAAGTGGGCTAACTGCTGGAGCAACCACCAATAGGAGGTTCGCATACATAGCAAATTCTGCTTTTATTAAATTTGTTTACAATTTGTTTACAATCGCAGAAAGAATGGGTAAATCATCACGTGCTGACGTAACGAGAAACATGCGATTGGCTGCCCACAAGTCACTGCTGTGGTGCACTAAAGCACTTCTTGTTTTTCGCAAATGCACATTTCAGCTGGTCATGACACCGTTTTTAATATATATATATATATATATATATATATATATATATATATATATATATATATATATATATATATATTATTTGTTTTTTTTGTGCTGGAAGTAGCAAGACTGGGGTGTTTCAGCTATCACTATTTAGTATCGCTATGTTGCATTGCCTTGTGGCTCTTTAGGGCCGTCATTTCCACGAATTAGTGGCATAATTGGGATCAAGAATCTGCACACTGCATCCAAAGTTTTTGCATTGAGTGGACTGGTGCTGACCACAGCTTCAAATTATTTGCTAAAACTTGCATTGCAAAATTTGGGACTGTACAAATACTTCAAATTAAGTTGGATTTCTAAATAACCAAGTTTCAATTATTGAGGTTTCACTGTATGTACTGTTTGAGGTGCTTGGTGTCTTTATCAAACTTTGAGAAATTTTCACCGTGTCTTGGTAGTTCCACAGATGTGGTTTGCAGTCAGTAAGAAAAAGGATGGCATGATAATTTCTAAGCATGTAGTTTTCCTTACTGCACTCCCAAGTTGTTCAAGATAGACAATTCACAAACTTATTTGTGCTCTTTCAATACATGGGCTGGAGTTTTTTTTTTTTTCACTTTTTTTTTGTTTGTATTTTTCAGAGTGCTCCCGAGCCGGTGCACATTATGCAGGCCAGCATGATCGTTTTTAGTCTCATGCCAATGCTGCCTGTGCAGTTTGGAACCTCTGCTCTTGCAGATGCTTTTGAGGCTTTCTCAGCCCTGGCTGCACAGTGTACAAGAAGACCTAGTAAGCTCATTCTCATTATTTATTTCAGATTTTATACCAGATGCTATAGTTTACATTTGTGCATAAAAGATAATATTTATTTATGTATTAACCCAGCATGTTAACATTAATCCGAACTTGCTTGCTTTATTTAAAGTAGGGGCAACCAGCCTTTTGAGGTGAAGGACCAAGTTGCATTTTGGCAAATCTAAGGGGGAGGGGGGCTTTGCAGGCAAATCCTTTTTAATAGTGTTCTGCAAAACTGAACTAGAAATCATGTTTATTTGCAAAATGCATGTCACATTGTTGCAATAAAATAGGTTACAAGTAAAAATCCCACCACTTTAGGTCAACATTGCCAGGTTGGCCTTCAAATATTATATGTGGGGTTTAACATCCCAAAACCACTATATTGCCGTGACAGGATGGCCACGTTCAAGTAGCTCGCCATGACCATTGTGGCACGAGCACCAGACGAGACCCGGCTGGCATGTGCCATGCGGTCGTGCGCTCTGGCTACGAAGAAGAAAACAGTTAGATCTGTGGAATTCGACGAACTCGAACTTCGACGACCATAGTCATTAGAATTGTGAGCACAAGTTTGCCCTAATAAATACACTGTCTTCTTCTTCGTAGCCAGAGTGCGTGGCGCATGCCAGCCGGGTCTGGCTTGGTGCTCGTGCCACGATGGTCGCGGCAGGCTACTTGAACGTGGCCAACCTGTTGCGGCATTATGATTATGAACGACGCTGACCTTCAGATAGGAAGTGATAGGAAGTGATTAGGGCTGTTAGAGATCGTGCCGGTAACCACATAATGCTTCCCCACAGGCTGCAGGTTGCCAATTCCTGCTCTAAAGCCGTCGCTCTGCTGCACGCACTGATTTTGTTTAGTTGTGCTCACAAACAGTTTAAACTAAGTTCTGTGCTTCCAGGTCACATACATGAAAGCCACCTGAAGTACTTGAAGCTGAGTCTGCAGTTTCTATTCCAATACCTGTATGGCATGTACCCATGCAATTTTCTTGCCTACCTGCGTGGGTTCTACGGAAGCCAGGACCACAGTCGTGAGAGGCTTACTGTTTACACCATGACAATCCGGGTGAGCTTCCTGGATCACCTGAACATCATGCTGTGTAATTGCCAGGGCTTTGTTAGGAATGATAATTAATTAGTAATTCAAACAGTCTCTGTGTTTGTGAGCAATTGTGCCAAAGCATGTTCGGCCTATCGGGGTTGGTATGAACGACCTCTCTGGTTTTATATCCTTCGGTTTCTCCAAGACCAGTATTGGTATTGGTTAAAAAAGTAAAGGTGTCTGTGTATTCCGATCATGTATACATTCAGTGAATACCAAACATGGTAGCTTTGGAATTGTACAACTGCCTTTCCCAGTGGTGAGAGGCCGAGGCCGCATGTGTCTGACCTGTCCTCTGTTCGGCTTGGTTTTTCTTGGCCTCTCGACACTGGCTCAGTTGCACATTGTTGCCGATCCTCATGTGTTATGCCCTGAACGTTGTACTATTGACATTGGGGGTTTCAGTTACATTTTTTACAAATTTTGAGCTGACCCAGCAACTTTGTTCATGCTTCATTTCAGCCACTGCTACAAAGAACTCGTGTTCATCCCCTGCTAGTCACTGCTTCTAAAGATGCTGAGCTCTGTTCAGAGAGGTTTGTACCAAATTTATCCTATTACCCCTTGTTTGCATGTGCTCTTTTGTGAAGTGATGAAGAGCTCTTCACTGGGATGCTTGTGCTGTGTTGCTATGTCTAAGTAATGTGAAACTACGCAGAAATATGTTAGCCCTTCTAAGTACATAATGGTTAGTGAAGGGAGGCGTGCTGGGGGCAAGTAACTGGTATTTTCCGTGAAAGGTCTCATAAGGGTGACCTTATCACATCTCAGTGTATGAAAACAAATTTTGCTAACTTCGTGCAAGAAATGTTTAAATGTTAGAAAGTAAACCATTGTGTTTGACTTGCAAATCAGTAAGAGGTATCGGGGAAAGAGCAGCCTCCTTTTCCCCTTGCTTCTGAGTTGATTAAAAAAAAAAAATCAAGCCAGCGCCCCCCTGTACTTTTCTTTCGCACAAAGGGGTAAGCTGGGGCTAAAAGCTGGAATGTCTGACAAAGGCCTCGTCTCCCTTGTCCAGCGAGACATCAATAAACGCAAGCACATAATTTTTAAGTTAGCTGCATTTGCCAGCATTATTTGATAATACCTAGTTGATGCTGTGATAATGCTGGATAGCTCAGTTAGCAAGTTCACATGGTTGTATATTGATTTTGCCATAAATGTTAGGTCGACACAACATAGGTGAAGTGCGCAACTGAATGTTCTGTCAACATTGCCTATATTTGTAGAACAAGTTATTTGAGCCAAAAAACAAAGTTTTTTTGCCCACTTTTTGTTAAGTTGATCGAGTATTCTTGCAGCGTTGACATTTGGCTTAATGGTTGAGAATTTTCAAGTGGTTAATAGTCATCCTCGTGTGTGGCTCCTTTTAGTTTTCAGCGCTAAATGGGACTTGTTCTCTCATCTAATTTTATGTTTTTGCATATTTCACTTCTGTGAGTTATACCCTGTGAAATGTCGGGTGTAGCTTATGCCAGTATCACGTTCTCACTTTTGATTATGTATAATGCAGATTGAGACGATCGCATTTGTGCATCAGGACTGAAAGTCTTAATATTGATTTTGCTGAGGTCTGCCCCTTGTGACTTAGTGTTCTAGAAAATGCTAGAAACAAGGGAGGGAAGCTTGCATCAATAAAAACATTTTTCGTTTGCTGAGAGTGACATAAGTGTGATTTTAGGACAAATTTTATGGAATTTTTACAGACAATATTGTCGGCACTTTTCTTGCAGCATGCACGTTTTATGCCCGCAACCTAATGAAAAAGAGCTTGCAAATTCTTATCTACATAAAGGGCCCCTAAACACTCTCCGATATTTTCCCAAACATTTCAAGTAAACAAGCGCATCGCGTGCAGAATGCCATCGCGATCAACGATGTCACACGCTGTAGCGCTACCGGGCTATGCCACAATTTCGAAAAAAAAATAGCTTCTCCTTTCTGGTCCCCGCCATTCCCGCCACTGACATGTGTGATATCACCAGTGAAACTCAATGACGTTACCACTTTCGATGCTTGCGATTGGCCGAATGTCAACCGGTGACTTCCAATCACTCTGCAAACACGCAGGCACCTTGCTTCGCACGCACCTTGCTGTTCTCGGTCATGTTGCCGTTTGCGAATCGACATCTGCGGCTCGTAACGCAACAAAGGGTCCATACCGGCATGATTCGTAGGGGCATGGGACGGCACGACAGCAACAACGGTTTGTCAATGATCAGTGCACCCGCATGACACGCACAACACAGTTGACGGCGAGCTGGTTTGTCGGAGTGGCGGCAACCGGAAGTAGACGCTGTCTCCAGCAGCGTGTCAGCGGTGACGTATGCCATGTGAGATGAGGAGGAGCACTCACCTGACTCAGCGAGGAGGGCCCAAGCGGTTCTGGAAGAAGGTAGTGCAGGAAAGAGGGAAAGAAGGGATAATAGCGTTTCAAACATCAGACGCGTGTAACTCCTCTATTACGGCACAGTTTCGAAAAATTCTCACGGCTACGTGTTTCGAAAAATTCTCACGGCTACGTGTTTGTTGTTAACTCGAGCGCAACTTCCCCACCTCAACTAAATTTCGACTGCTGGGTGGTTTGGGGGCTCTTCAAAGGGTGCCTTGTACCCAAATTTCACTGTTCAAATTATACATTGCAACGCGTTTCTTGTATCGTCCCAAGATGAATGCTGCGCTTTCTGATGCCCCTTTCGACTGCTTTGGTGTTGCACAAGTTAGCAGACAACTCTGTGCTGGCAAATGAGATGTCAGAATGAGTTAGAAGTGATGAGTCTCCTGAAGATTATACGTTTTGCCATACAGGAATGAATCGATCTGCCCTGATTAAGAAATGCAAAGTACAGGTTAAGGATGAAGGTTGTGCTTCATGTAGACAGTATGGCAGCATCGCCAGGGTCAGCTGCACAGCAGTTAAAATTGTGATGCACAAATTTACCTATTTTTCACAGCTTTAACAAGTATTAAACACAGTGGAAGGTATAAATTGTTCACCCCGAGTACATGGAAGGTGTGTGCAGTATGTTCTTTATTTGGGGGGAGGGGGATCAATCAAAAAGCCCAGCACATGATCAGAATGGCACTTCACTTTCGGCAACAGAAACTGTTAATGCACAATGCTGCAGTCAATGCGGGAACTTGCTTCAAAAACGAATTAAAATATGAAACACTTTGCTTTTGCCCTTTTCAATGCTACCACAGCGGAAGCATGGTAATGCATCTGGGTCAACTGGTAATGGTTAACTGAAACAGCATGAAAAAGGCTTGCTTTGTTTCTCTTTTTTTGTCCTATGTCATCCTGTTTTTGTCTCCAGAGAAGGAGACACGAATGGCGCTTGTTTGTGTCTTCTTCTTTGGTTTTTCATCCTTTTTTTTTTTGTGCTGTTCCGCAAAGGTGTCGCAGCAGTCATCAGGGCCCGTAGCAAGGATGATTGCCGACTCAAGACAATAGGCATGCTTTGAGGAGCAGGGCCTTTTAATGATCACCTAGGCTAATAATGAATGCACTGCCTAGTATGCACTACTGGCCTAGTAGAACATTTCACATCATTGTGTAGAGCTTTGTAACACATCCCTGCTGGCAAAGTAACAACAGTAGAACTGTTGGGCTACAGGCCAACCAGTGAAGGCAGTGCTTTGTCCACCTCACCACTGTTCAACTGAATTACAGAAAGATTTACTATATATATATATATATATATATATATATATATATATAATATATATATATATATATATATGTATATATATATTTAGCACTAACAAACTCTACCCTCAATCCTGATGAAGGGCAGACTCTGCCTAAAACGTCGAAATAAACCACGTTGTTACTTCTCACGGAGAATCTACTTGACTCATCCGAGTTTTCAAACATGTCCAGAAAATTGGCAGGCTTGTCATCCTTGTCATTTGGCATATCCCATGCGATGTTATGGTTTTTGCACAGCAGCCTGCCATCCCCCTATTTCGCTTTTATTTCGTGTAACCCGTCTTTAGCAATCAACGATTTTAACAATGAAATTTTTATTGTACCAGAGTATTGTTATGAGTGCATTGAACTGTGTGTGCATGCGCATGTGTGTGTATTCTCATGGTCTAGAAGCATATTGTTTAAAGCTTCAGCTACTGGTGTCAATAAAACTGCTCACGGGTTTCAAAGCGGGCTGCAATTTTTAGGTCTATTGATTTTTGTTCTGGGCATGCCACATGGAAAGTAGAGCAAAGGAGTCTCATTTGAGTGAGATCTCATGTTGTTATTTTCTCCATGAACTTGATGTGTTGAGGGACTGCTTTATTTTGCATAGCCTGTGTGTTGTAAAGGATCACTAGTGTTATGTTTCATATTTTCTTTACCTCTACACATTCGGCAAACTATAAAAAATTACTTGTTTGTGTGTAGGATGTGGCCAATAATAAATATTTACCATGGTGCACAAATAATTTGCCATGAAAAGGCTGCCTAACGAGCATCTCCTATAAAAAGGACGTTATGGTAGATTGGTTCCTGTGCTGGGTCAATAACACTCGGGGCACTTCACCTCATTAGCATTCAGAGTTGTAAAGCATTCTTAGTTTGAAGTTATATGTTAGCTGCTATGGGCTGCTGAATACTAATAAGGTGTTTCGGGAAAATGTGGTTGATCCTTTACACTCGCAAGCAAATGACTAATCACGCCAAAAAACAAAAACCTTGCTTTTGTAGATGCCAACTTAAATTATGCAGCATGTTTGACAGCTGCACATTTAACCAATGCATGGTTGTGACGTTATCCCCAATTGGAAAGGTTTGGTAGATTTAAATTTTCACGGATGTTATTTCTTTCAAACTTCTTCTCGCAACTTGCGATGTAAGAGAAGAAAATAATGTAAGGGTTGCCCTATTGTAGCATTTCATTTACATTTGTGGCAATATAGCCAAGTCTGGATGCAAGAAGTGTCATCTTGGGTTGCTGAGTTCTTTCGCAGTAGATGTGAAAGTCTGGACACTTCCGGTGTAAGAAGGCCTCAACATTGTACATTTTTGCAGCGTTAAGTTTTCACTACAGAGTAGGGAAACTGCAAATGTTATCTAGTATGCCTGAAGAGCACTTCTAGACTGAAAATATCTGCTCAACTGTTTGGGGAATAATGGTACTTTGCATTTTCTGTAGATGGAAAAAAAAGCAGCCATATGACATTTTGGTGGAATGTGGGCAGCACACACTGGACCCAAAGGAACACATAAGCGAAATTGACGAAGCTTCTTCACCGCCTCCTGGGACCCTAGGTGGAAGCAATGCGGTGGCGGCGCCTATGCCTCTGCTGCAGCCGCCTTCGAAGGGAATGTTAGCCAAAGGTATGGAGAGGAAGCCGATTTTCATTGTATTGAGCCATGCCTTGACATTTTTAATTAGCCTTTGCTCAGGTATATAAGTGCACATATGGCACTCCTACCAAAGTTGGTGCTACTTCTATTATTCCATCTATTGTCATCCTTCATACCATTGTACAGTATTGTGTGTACCTCCATTATGTGCCTGGTTGGGTAGGTTCCAGCGCTTTTATGGCATGAGCCCTGAATTCCTTGATTTCAAGATAAGTTTTGGAGTGGGCTATTCCTGGTGTAATCAAGGTGCACGCTAAATGTGTACTAGTTATGCTCTAGGTGTGTTGATTAGAATGCCTGACATGTCACTTAAGTTGGGGAGTTTCGTGATATCAGTGGCACACAGAAGGATGCAGTGGTTGAAGGCATGTCGTAGTTGTCTGGATGATGTATGGGTGGCCAGTATGGCATGTTCAGTTTCTTTGTGACTTGGTAATTATGTGGTGTACACCTGTAAGCTCTGCTGCTTCTGGTCTGCACATTTAATTGATGTTTCTTTTAACTAGGAACAAGAAATAATTTCTCCGTGGATCGAGTGTTGACTCATTGCTGCTGTCAGCATCCAGATCCTCTTGTCCTTGGTTTTGTCCTCAGTGTTTTAGATGCCTTACAGACACTGTAACAGGCACAAAAAGGGTTGTAACAACCATAGTTTTTTTTAGCTATAGCTCGCATGGTTTGATTTTATTACATATTTCAATGCCAATGGTGGTTTCTTGTCACTGTAGCAACTTTTGCTGCATAATCATATTCTGTTATGTATGCATTGTTTTTATAAATTTTTCTAGAAAAAAGAAGACAGTGTTAGAACCAAGCAAGTGCTCGTAGTATTGCACAAAATCATAAAACAGACGCGCGCTTTGTGCCCCGCCGCGGTGGTCTAGTGGCTCAGGTACTCAGCTACTGACCCGCAGGTTGAAGGATCAAATTCCGGCTGCGGCGGCTGCATTTCTGATGGAGGCAGAAATGCTGTAGGCCCGTGTGCTCAGATTTGGGTGCACGCTGAAAAACCCCAGGTGGTCAAAATTTCCGGAACCCTCCACTACGGCGTCTCTCATAATCATACGGGGGTTTCGGGACGTGAAACCCCACATATTAATCAATCAATCAACACTCATTCTGGGTTTTTGTTATGTGTTTCGACGCTATACCATGTTTATTAGCGATCACCAACTAGTCCAAGAACAGAGCTTTCTGCAGACCTGAGTAAGTAGGACAGTTGATTTTTATGTGACACACCGCATTGAGTAGCTTCTTGCAAAAGCATCCCTGTGAGCTTTATTCCTACCAAGCCTGCTCATTGGCCGATGCGCGGGTAGTTTTTGCTAAACTTTGACAGTTCTCGTTTTAAAGGGGTCTTGCACCACTTTTCGAGCATTGTTGGAAAATGATGCCAATCTGTAGTCGAGGCCCCTGTAAGCACGAGCCAAATGTTATCTCGCTACCTGCAATAGGGAATTTACAGTTTTCCCAATAAAAAAAACACTTAAAATTTGCTTACTGTCTTCTCCCGAGTGTCACCACCAGTTATGCAGCGTGCAGGCCCAACGCTGTATTTGAACCTCTTTATAAGAGACATGTACCGAGGAGCAATCGCTGTCTTTTATTGGGGTGCCTCTTGTAAGCAGGCTACCACATAGGCTTTTTCTTATCAGCATCTATTTCAGTGTAGGCACACTGGTGTCTCTTACAACCATTTGGCTCTTACGTAATTTCTCCTATATGTAATGGTGTTTGACTGCCCGCAGGGGCGCCTGCGCAAGTAGGCGTTTGGTGTGTAGCGACACCACGGACCCGAGCTAACGGGGGAGTTTCTACTCCCTCCCACGCCTAGCCGTGCGTGGCTTTGCCGTGTCCGGGGAAAAGGGAATCCTGGGGGTTGAGCCGACGCTGGGTGATTGGACCTTTAAGGCCCCCCGGCAGAGGCAACACACCCCTTTGGTCCCGGCTTCACGTAGACGGCACCCCTGGGCTGACCCACCCAGGGGAAATCGGCAGTCGCCTTTTCCTATCTCTCTCTTCCTACATCTTAGTCTTTTTCTCGTCTTTAAATCTGTCCTGTCTTCTTCTCTCTTCCATTTACTTCCGATTTTTCATGGCGGCAAGGGTTAACCTTGTGTAATTACTCAACCTTGAGTAGTTATATTTGGTTATAGTGGCAATGTACGGCTGGCGTCTGCAGCCTTATGCTATTAAGTGCTTCAGCGTCCCCTGGTTGGACTCCATGGTGGGTGGTCGCCATTGCTGCCGAACAAAAAGTACAGTACTATGGGAACACCTGCATTTCCCCGTCTCCTACATCGTCTCCCGCCTAAGAGGGGACGCACCGATGACATATCAATTTTCAGCCAACCCAGACAATGCTTTCCCAAATTCCATGTTGTGCACAGCGAAAACCCAACAAAACAAGCCAGAGCAATATCTCCATTTCTTGTTGCTAAATCCCTGACAGAGGTCTTTGGCCCAGGATACAAGGTTACAAAGATGGCTAGCGGAGACCTTCTCCTTGAGCTGCCTGAAAAACACCACTATGAAAAACTTGGCAATCTCGTAGCATTTGGCAATATCCCAGTATCTATTTCACCTCATAGATCAATGAACACCTCACGCGGAGTTGTTTCAGAAGCAGACCTTGAAATGTCTGAACAGGAACTGCTTGAAGGGTGGAAAGAGCAAAATGTCACGGATGTGAAACGAATCGTCATCAGACGCGACAACAAAGAAATACCTACCAAATATTTAATACTCACTTTTGCATCTAGCACACTGCCTTCATCTATAGACACAGGATACATCAAACTCTCTGTCCGTCCCTACATTCCCAATCCAAGACGGTGTTATAAATGTCAATGATTTGGTCATGGCTCGCAGAACTGCCGGGGTCAGGAAACTTGTGCAAGATGTGGTAGCCACGGCCACCCATCTGATAACTGTGTTACTACGCCTCACTGCGTGAATTGTGACGGGGAACACGCCGCGTATTCGCGTTCGTGTCCTAACTGGAAGAAAGAAAAAGAAATAATCACTCTTAAAGTCAAAGAAAACATCACATTCAAAGAAGCAAGACGAAGAGTGTCGCCATTTTACGGCGCAACATATGCTGATGCGGCGCGTCAGGGGGCATCGCCGCACCAGCCCTCGCCACCCCTTCGGCCTGCGCAGAGCGAGCCGTCGGCTGTGGCACCTGCCCCCAAGGCGGCTGTAGCCCAGGCTACACTGCCTACTCCCAAACAGAGACCGGAGACTCCAGAGTCTTCGGGTCTCAAGGCCTCCCCTCACCAGGCGAGGCCCAAAATTTAAACTAACAGCCCGCACGTGCGGGCATCCAGTGCCTCCGAGGAGGCAATGGATACGTCGGCACCCTTGGTGCCGAAAGAGCGGCGTGGCTCCTTGGAGCGCGTCAAGAAAACAAAAAAGCAAATAACAGGGCCTGGTGACGGCCCTGTTAAGTGAACTCAAACTCCCCGTCTAAACAGCCACTCGCTTTTCGTACACACAGCACTATTTTACATTCACCATGAACACTCAAATTATACAGTGGAACGTCAGGGGCCTTCTCAGAAACCTTGACGACATCCAAGAACTCCTACACGAACACTCACCAAAAGTGCTGTGTGTACAAGAAACACACCTTAATTCAAAACACACAAATTTTCTTCGCAAATACGTTATTTTTCGAAAGGACCGTGATGATGCCATGACATCATCCGGAGGTGTTGCCATCATAGTGAATCAAGGAATTGCATGCACACACTTACAACTCCAAACATCCCTTGAGGCAGTGGCTGTTCGAGCGGTTCTTTTTGATAAACTAATCACAATCTGCACTATTTACATCCCTCCTAGCTATCAGCTGCAAAAACGTGATCTACACTCTTTAATTGATGAACTTCCGGAGCCTTATGTTCTCCTTGGAGACTTCAATGCGCATAGCAGGCTATGGGGAGACTCTCGTTGCGACGCGCGAGGTCGACTAATTGAACAATTCCTTCTCTCGTCGAACGCATGTCTCCTAAATAGAAAAGAACCAACCTATTATAATCTCGCACATAACACCTACTCCTCCATAGACCTAAGCATAGTGTCTCCATCTCTTGTGCCTCTACTCCAGTGGAAAGTCGTCAGTAATCTGTACGGAAGTGACCACTTTCCCGTAGTTTTGAGCACAACTACAGCAACTGAGTGTACACCCCGTGTTCCCAAATGGCTCATAAACAGAGCCGACTGGGAACGTTTTCATACCATCGCTCGTATAGATTGGAGTGACATATGTACTTTAAGCATTGATGTTGCTGTCGACTACTTCACAGCTTTTTTGATTGATGCTGCAACAAAATGCATCCCACAAACAAATGGGCACCCAGGAAAACGGCGTGTGCCATGGTGGAACTCTGAATGCCGAAACGCGCGCAAACAGCAAAACAGAGCTTGGAGGCTGCTTCGGAACTCACCGACAGCCGAAAATCTTGACACCTTCAAGAAAATAAAGTCTCAAGGCAGGAGAACGCGTCGGCAGGCCAGAAGAGAAAGCTGGCAGAAGTTTTTGTCAGGGATCAATTCATACACACAGGAGGCTAAAGTCTGGAACATGGTCGGTAGGATAGCACGAAAACAAGTACACACACTTCCACTCGTGGACACTCTGGGTGATACCTTGGAAGATCAGGCAAACTTCCTCGGTGCACACTTCGAACAGGTGTCCAGCTCATCCCACTATACTGACACTTTCCAAAAATACAGAACAAGAATAGAAAAGCAGAAACTTGGAACACAAATGCACTAGATCCGAGGCATATAACCAAGCTTTCAGTCTAGCTGAGCTGCAAATGTCTCTAAACTCCTGCAGTACTTCTGCCCCAGGTTCTGACCGTGTGGTGTATGAAATGTTGAAAAACCTACCAATCGAAACACGAAAAACCTTACTTTGTTTGTACAATGCTATCTGGTTTTCTGGCGCTATCCCTACCTCC